GATAATTGCACACTTCAAACGGACAGATTATCATACGAAGGAAATATTCGCTGTAAGTTTTTTTGAAAATTATCGAATTACCGTTTATTAATACCGTTTTTGCCCTATGGCGTTGCTATGGATAAGTGAAATAATCGGTAGTATTATTAATATTTGGTTGGCAGCACTGTGGGTGACAAAGAAAAGATTCCTATTTAGTCGATACAGATGGCTGGCGGCAAGTTGCAATGCGTACCGCTACGCGTTTTTATGTCGCTGTTGTCGTTTTTCTGTTGTCTTTCATTCGCAGGTCGCAGACGCCAATCCAATAGAGAAAATGGCGTCTGAAAGTTTGGTGGTGGTGTGGAGTGGTCTAACAAAACATTGAAAAAAATCGTGTTAAAAATAGGGAAATGTTCGCTCACTATCGGTAGATTCCCACAGGACTGTTTGGCAAACGAGTGTCCTAAAATGACGGCCAACATGTATCGTGTCGGAGGTGAGTGGCGAATTTTAATTAACCGGCTTTACTCAAGAGCACTCTTCCTTCGGTAATAGTCGTACTGTTTGTCTACGATTCATTATTAATTACTTTTGGATTTTATGTAATAGTGCTGCACCGAGTTAACAGGAGTCCAGTCTTCTTTTAGGTTATTTGACATTGAAATGCAGAGATTTTATTATTGGGGCGATATGTGGCGATTGTTAGGCGAGATAAGGGCATTGGAATTACCTAATTAATATGGATGAATACACTAAAACAGCCTCGACTGGAATCGACACCAGGCCAACTTGCAGCCGTTAGGCACACGCGTGTTTATTTACTTTTCTGGCCCTTCCTGCACTGTTTCTGTTTACTTGCTCAGAATTTCGCAGTTTTTTGCCAATTTACAGCAATCGTTATTCGTGAACGGCTATCAAAACAATGGGCGTCAAAGAGCCATGGGGCCAGGCTAATGAACTGGCTTTTGTCATCAGTTTGTTTGTTTTGCTTTGGGGGTTAAATGTCTTCAACCAGCAGACTCTATTCCTTCTAGGACTACTTAGGAATCCTAATTGCTTATTTTTAGCGGAGATGTGCAACGAATGCGGGATCAACTTTGCTTTTGGTCCTTGTCCAAGCCTCTTGCTTGTCTTTGCACTCTCCAGCATTTAGATGAATCCGACCCAACACGTGCAATTTGAAAACATGAATATCTACTCCACGTTTTTTTCAGGCGCGGATTGTTTGTTGTTTCGGGCTATCGTTGAAAGCAAACCTTTCATCTGAACATGATTTTTGCTTTTATTCGATCGTCCGATGTCCACACAACCACTCGTTTATCCGAGCAGTGCGGGTCGAAACGGATCCCGTACATTCAAAATGTTTGTCCTCCAATGCCAGAAGAAATTTTAAGGAAAACCTCCGTTTTTTGATCATCAAACTTACGATAACCGAATTGGTAAAACTGATATTAAATTATCCAGTGACGAACGATCCGTAGAGCTCTTCAAGTCCGGGAAACGCAGTTGTTGCACCAAATCTATCATGCAGGCAAAAGTGGCCTGTTGGAAATTACGCCCCCAAAGGCCACCTGCTGGAGGCATCAGCACCAAGAAGAAAAATGAGCAAGGAGGAAATTACATTTGTGTCTTCGGGCCTCAAAATTAAATTGTTAGTGTCAGGCAAGGATGTGAGTAGCTACCGAAGCCTTACCAAGGACAGAAGAAGTGGTTCTACACGGGTTGAAGACGCAGAGAACATGGATTGTCGCTTCCGAAAGTGCACATACATCTGCAGGATTTAAAAAAATAATCGAAAAGATGTTCGGATTGAACTGGCTAAGGTTTGGGACAATGAGTACTAAGCACAAGTTGATGGTTCGGATGAGGACGACCTTCTTCCGTTGTCTGCGGGGATGCATAGAGAAGACGTAGAGCCAGTCGAATTTGTACAAAATTTAGTTGAATAACATTTGCGTTAAAAATAAAGCAATTTTAATGAAATACAGTAACATAAAAAAATGGTCGTCATTATGTCGCTTGCCTTTTGCAGATTACGTGTACTTTGAGACGTCATCCACGTTTCCCTACCAGATTCGGCGGATCGAAGAACTGAACAAGACGCCATCCGGAAATGTAGAAGCTAAGGTGATGTGCTTCTACAGGCGAAGAGATTTGCCCTCTCAGCTTATTCAACTTGCAGACAAACACCAATGTAAGTGATAATCAGTCCTTTAGTTGTCTGTTTCTAGATGGTGAGATCTAGTAGACATGTAAAAATATAACCATTTTTACGGGCGTGTGAGTGCGTGATTCCGAAGAAGCGGATAACGTTGGCAAGGCGGTCACTTTTTGCTTGTTTAATTATAAACGTACAGTCCGACTGAAAGGCTGAAGACACCTCCATTGGGAACGGGTACAGTTCGCTAGAATATCGCAAAGAGTCCTGGGCACTTCTTTCGTCAGCGAAACATTTATAATCAACTGAACCAGATTGCGAGGTGTGAGGCTCAAAAGGCTTCGATGCAGTTTTTTCGAGTATTTAACCACGCTCTGCTGTGAAAGGTTGCCAGCGCTTTTGTAGAATAATTGAGGGTCAATGCGAGTTGATAGCATTTAAATGTTGCATTCAGGTTTCCAACAAACGAACTATGTTCGATATGATTGGTTTTTTTGGAGAATCGCCCAGCTACAAGGTCCTCGCGACAAGACAGGTAAAGTCGCGACTGTATCGATCGCCGACTAATCAAAGCTTTTGTCCTGCCACTTATTTGAATCTCCCCTGATCATATTGGTCGAAAATCACTTTTCACTGTAAAAGTTGAGAGGATTTTCAGTTGCTGTTGCTCAAAACAAATCATTGCTCATCAATCCATGCCGACTAATTTTCCCATCTTTTGCACCTGTTGTACGAACTAAATCCAGTGGTTTTTTTTGTTCCGAACCCTCCTGGGGAGCCGGCGACCTCTCAAGCCTCCCCAGCCTGTTGGTGGAGTTTTCTCCGTTAGGGGCAAAGCAACAGGCAGGAATTTTGCATTGGCATCGAACTATGCTCACCGTTTAATTGGAGAACATTCTACGATAGATCAGATGGTTAGGTTTTTTTCATTATTCAATTACACTTTCCTGCTAAAGTACTGGGCAAAAGTCCGTTGAATTAATCGTTTTTCACTCGACTACAATCTAATTACCAGCGATAATTGGTAGCCCAAGTGCCAATGAAAACGGCTGCTGTTCAATTGTATTTTGTTGCTGGTTGGACTGGCCGGATTACTTCGAGTTCGTTAAAAACGTTTGCTTATAGGTGTGCCTTTTCCTGTTATAACGCACCGCGACCTCACAGTATCCGAAAAACCATTGCAGATTACCGGGTGATTAGATAAGGAATCGTCCGTGGAAAACTTAGCGCTTTCGATCGTTCGAATGCATTTTTACGCAACGAAAATGCTTGTTGGGTTTAGGCACACATCATTGGACCGTTTCAGGTGGACGCTGATACTAATTCGCGAAATTTCCCACACATCTGAAATACGTTTTGTTTATTGGTGAAAATCGAATTGCGATTGCTTTCTCTTTATTAAACCTACGTGAATATTTGCGATAATTAGTAGGCTTTTTTGGCCGTAGTCGACCGTCCGGATACTTTTACTCATTCAGGCAAGACATTCAGTGACCAATTTTTGTGCAAGCAACAATCGATCAGTAAAATGTACTTTTAAGAAGTGCATTGTATGGACGCGCGAAAAACGGTTTAATTTAGAGATTCTATTCACTTTTTGCCATTCAGTCAGCATTCGGCACAACAAACGCGTTAAAGATAGTTTAATGTACAATTTGTGCCCAGACTGGTTTGAAACGTGAAAAACCTCTAAATTTACTGAGTTTATACTGTTTGCTAAAGCTTAATAAAGCTCGTCCACTCGATGACATTAATGCCGTGACAGCAGCCAGTGAGTGTCACGGTGACGTATATCAAAACATTTTGATTCGCGAGTTCAAGGTGAGACGCCCCCTGCTGCTTAAACTGATAACGACAAGTTAAGTAGTAGTTTGACACTTGTTTGGTTGACATTGGTTGAAAAGTGTAAGTAGTGTTCTATGTTATAAATGTCATCAACTCCAATAAATAAACAAGTCTGACAAGTCTCAACTGTCACGCGACAACGAGTAATTTGACGTTTCGCAGCGCTGTTCAGACAGTGACACTGTGGTGGATGACATTAGATGTCACGACATTAGTGTTTTTAACGAGCTTTAACGCATTGTCATCCAACCAATAGAAATCCCATGAAGAGGGGACCAGTGTTTACTGTATTCGCAAAGAGTTGTTGCAATTTTGCCGGATCTTCTGGATGAGCCGCAGCGGCAAAACCGGTCTGTTGAAGCGGCGGGAAGTGGTCAGATTTGGCGGTGTTGTCGCGCCGCCCCCCACCGGCTAATGAACGTCGCCCCGCAGCCCGCGGGGCGGCCGCCACCCCATCACCCGCCTGAACCCGCGCCCCCTTCCGCGCTTCGGGGACAGGGGGGATTCCGCCCACCGTCCCACGCCAGATCAATAGAATATATAAGAATGCAGAGCGGCACAGCTCCGGATGGATGGGTGCTGCTGTTGTCCCCTCTGTGTGTGATTTGGCACTGTTAATCTGGGGCAATTTTTTCCATTCTCTGAACTGTTGGCTGAAGAGTTAAATGGAATACTCGCACGTAGCTGTGCGAGCGGGCACAGCAATGTTTTTTTTTATTAAAAAAAACTGATGCTCAGAGGTATTTCGCTGTTGTGGCGGAAACGGGGAAACTTTAGAGGCGATGTTTGTGCACAGAAAAGACTGAGAAGATTAGCATCACTCATCCCAGCCAGACTGGCAATACCACCCCCGTCTGCATTCTTACATATTGATCTGGCAGGGTGGCAGGGGGCGACCCCCATCCCACACAAGGGCCGCAGGTCGTTTTCCAGTAGTCGAAAAAATTTAATTAACTCCAAAGCGAAATTGGCCTAAAGTTGTTATTATTATTATTATTATTTTTGTTATGTTGGGGGTTGCTTTGCAAAATTGGTGTTCTTGGTTTGAGTCGCGTTCGCATTTAATAAAATGTGTATCGTTATCGATTGGACCGAACCCCCAGGCAGATGTGAGAGATATGAGAAGGTTGGGCCGCTGTAATTGTTTTTCTGAAAGTAAGTAAATGTGTTCGCTTTGGGGTTGGTTGATCGACCCCCTTTGTTTGGCCGTGAGTGGACCACAGCTAATGTTGTTTGCTTGCTCGGGTGGATACCTGCGATCGGTGCAAATCTAATAATGAGATTTTTTGAGATTCATTTGTTCTATTCTGGACGGTGTTGGGCAAAAATTGATTTTTATTAAAAAAATAAAAAAATCACTGATTTATTTAATTTTTATTAAATTTATTAAATCAATTGATAAATGCGTTTAATTAGCTGTTTTAAAGTCATTGCAATTGTTGCCGAGAAGATTCAAGCTAAGTTGAACCGATTCAATACTTGTCCGAACGCATTTTCGACGGAAAATTCTTGTCGCAACGGCCCGCGACTTGTTTTCGCACGTTGCCCGGCGTAATCTATAAATGCCGTCGCCTTTCTTCGGTCTTATTCATTTCGTCACAAAATTTCAAGAGAGGCTAATGTTGAAAAGTTTGTAGATTTTTTGTGTTTGTGTAATAATAATAAGTCAGTTTGAAAAGAACGCAATGGCTGGAAGAAAAGAAGACAGTATTGGGCAGTTTTACATCAAAACCACCTCTTCTAATAAGTCAGGATGCAGAGCAACTTGCAAACAGTGTAAGAAAGAGATTCAAGGCATAGTACAAAGACTG